CTGCTCCTGACGTGGCTGGAATATGACAACTGCTTCAGGTTCCCTCCGCCATGACTTCCCCATAACGATGGACTGGAACCTGGAGCCGTCAACCAAAATAAGCACTTTCTTCTCTGAGTGTCTCTCCGTGGAGATATTTCCCACAGCAATGGAAATCAAACTAGGACACTCACCCTTCAGGAGACTAAAGGAAAGGTTTAAAAACATGAATTTCTAAATGATAAATGCTTCCCTGGGGTTTAAATACCCAGAGACAAGACAACAATCTTCAAGTGACACTGTCTTCACTGGGTTCCAATCCTTCGATCAGTTCCATATTCTCCACTCAGCCCTCAGCCCCTAGTGAGGAGGATCATGTCATTTCCCTGCACACACCCAGTGCAGTGACTTTTTACATCACATGACCAATATCTGAGAGAAACGCTTGAGGGAGGAGGGCCTTGCTGCAGCTCATGGCCTTAGAGGTGGGCGTGAGGGAGCAGAGCATTTCTTAAACGCTGGTCAGGAAGGAGATGAAGGACGGCAGAAGGAAACAGGGCCAGGATGCCCCATGGCAGTGATGTAAATCCTCCAGCCAAACCCAAGCTCCTGAACTTTCCAGAACTTCCCAAATTAGGGCCAGCGATGTCACCTAGGCCTTCACACACATGAGGGGCCGTTTCACATTCGGGCCCAACAGAGAGCGAGCTGTGGAAATTACTTCACATTTCTTATTCGAGAAATGAGTTGGGGAAATCAACATTTGGACTAATAATGAAGAGTTGCTCATTTCATGAACTCCGCGCTACATTTGAGTTCATGTTTCCATAGCCCCAAGATAGAGTCATGTCACAATTGCTGGTATCTAAGCAGCAGTTGAGATGAGTCCCTGGCTGTGTCACTGATGACCTGCCACCTCAGGGGACTGACCACATGACTCTCCAAACAGAGCTTCTTTTGAGAGTGAGAGGGGACTATCGGATGACAAATCATTATAAATATGATGGGGACTGTCCCAAGCAAACCTGGACAGAGAGGCTCACTCTGGTTATATCTCTTGTAGGAAATTATCTAAATATCAGCTAAAATGTCCTTTAAAAAGAGTAAATTATGATTTAAAAAAAATGTCCCATTCCAACTGGTCTTGGTGATCTCCCATTAGATCAGCCCCACCGTCTCAGTGGGTGAACACACCTCTCGCAGTCTTGACTTCCTTGCTCATGTTCTCCCTCCTTCTGCGTCTCATTAGGACCTTGGGAGCTCAGTCCAGTGCTCCAATGTGGGTCTCTGTCTCTATCTCCATCCATCACCAGATGAAGGTTCTATAGTGATATGCAAGATATTCATCAGTGTGGCTATAGAAGAAGGCCAGTTCAGGCACCCTCTCCTCTGCCGCTCAAGGAACAAGCTGAAGACCTCTCCTTGGACACCTGGGAAAATTATCTTGTCAAAGCTAGAGATATAGTTCAGGGGTTCAGAAAGCATTCTTTCTTCAAGAGCACACAGGTTTAGTTCCCAGCACCCTCAGCAGGTGGTTTACAAACTCCGAGGGGATCTGACGCCTGCTTCTGGCCTTCATGAGGACCCAATGCACCTGTCATATCCACACCTGTATACACAGAAGCAAAGTCAGTTTCCAGTGGAAGCCACACATCTCGGAAAACATAAAAACGGCTCTGGTTGTAGCCCAACAAGGATGACCTATGGCATAAGGGGCTCCCTTATGTATATGCTGGTCAGGCCTCTGTGATATAGCAGAAACTTTGTTTCCAGATTTTGAACCTAAATGCCCCTCAAGCAAAGAATGGATCAAGAAAATGTACATTTACACAATGGAGTACTACGCAGCAGAAAAAAATAATGGCATCTTGAAATTTGCAGGCAAATGAATGGAGCTAGAAACCATCATATTGAGTGAGGTAACTCAGACCCAGAAAGACAAATATAATATGTACTCACTCATAAGTGGCTTTTAGACATGAAGCAAAGAAAACCAGCCTGCAATTCATAATCCTAGAGAACCTAGATAACAATGAAGACCCTAAGAGAGACATACATGGATCTAATCTACATGGGAAGTAGAAAAAGACAAGGTCTCTGAGTAAATTGAGAGCGTGGGAATCATGGGAGAGCATAGAAGGGGTGGGGGAGAAAAGGAGATGACCAGAGAAAAATATATAGCTCAATAAAAACAATTAAAAAAGAACAGAAATCCACCGTGTTTAATAATATACAATAGTCCGGAATCTGAACTGAAGTGTTTCAGGCAGCCCTCATTGGAGCTGCATGGTATGAAATCCAGCACAATGCAATGCATTCATGTCCTGTGTTCCAGACCAAGGCTGCAGTGAAATTGCACCATGCAACACAAGCAACCACCAACAGAAACACCTCTGGTTCATTAAACATTTGATTTTGAATTCATTTTGGTTATCTGTGTTATAGGACTGTGAAGGAGAAATGGGAGGTGGGAAGAAAGGAAGAAGGGAGTATTACAAACCACACACAAGGAAGGGCCGTGTCTGTACAGCTCTCACGTCAGGAAAATCATCTTGGTACTTCCACAAGTAAACCATGAGAGAAAAAAAAGCATACCTGTGGCTGAATCTTAAAAGAACTGCAGAATTTTTATCAGCACAAAGTGAGGGGATGGTGCTTTGATTTGAGACTAGTATAAACAAAGGACCCTTGAGCAACACTGAACAGGGCTGAAGATCTATCAATTGGTAGGATGCTTGGCAACCATGCACAAAGCCCTGTGCATGATCCTCAGCACTGCATAAACTTTCTCATGGCACACCCCTATGACCCCATCCTTGGGGAGGTGGAAATAGGGGTACCAGAAGTGTAAGGTCACCCTCTTCAGCTACCTAGCAGAATCGGGGCCAGCCTAGGATACAAAAGGACCTCTCAAACATAAATAAATAAAATACACAAATGTTTGAGTGATTGGTTACAGCTACCGTAAACGCCATCAGCTCTTAGAATTTAAGAACACGGGGAGGAACTCTTTACCATGTGAATTGCCTGCCACTGCTACATAATACTCAGACTGGGGAAGTCTGGAACAGGCTGAACTTTCTAAGCATTCTAAGTGATTCTAGGGAAAGGGGTCCAAGAGTCACAGGAGAAACTATGATGCTTAGAGGAAAGCAATGGCAGGCAAGGAAGGAAGGTAGGATGGAGCCAGATCACAGACAGACTTGACAGTCAGCTAAGAAGGTCGGTGATCTTCATTCTGTCAGCAGTAGGAACTCATAACTGTAAAGATGGCTGTATTCTGCTTGGAATTATTATTTCAGGCTCTTTTAATAGTATGATGCTTTAAGGCATCTACAAGCTCGCTGGAGTTTACTATAGAGGCAGTGAACAATCCGCCTAAGAAGTTCCTATGAATGTGACCCTGAACTGCTGTCTGGGAGAGCAGAAGAAGAGCTGGAAAGACTGCAGGACACTGCTGCTCGAGGAAGGACGCGTCACCAGGGTCTACGCAGTCAACGAGGTGAGAGTCAGAAGCAGATAACTTGAGACGAGTTTTGCCTTTTTGTTTTTTTTTTTAGACATCCAGAAACCCAAGCAGTGTCACTCCATGAGAATAGTGCACAGACATCGAGTATGCTAATTTGTGCATCAGAAAATTCCAGAGGTTCTTTTAATCTGCAACAGTCTATCCAGGGTAGCAGATCTAAAATCTCATCCTCTCGGACCCTTTAACTCTCTTACAAAGGATCTATGGCCCCAAAGGCAGTTTTAAATATGAATTATTTCTATATTTCCACATACATTTATAGTATCAAAATTAAAACTAAGCTCTTTTATTTAAATTGACAATAACAAAACATTATATATTAGCACTCTTTCTTAAAAAAAAAATGTATTTTCTCCCCTACTCCCAAAATCTTTTCAGTGAAAAACAAACCAGAACTGATTTTGGTAGTTTGGTGTATTACTCTATCATTCAACTCCATAGAAAACGGCTCTGTTTTTTGTGTCTGCTTCTCCACTCTGTGCTATCACGCATCCAGGAAACTCTCGGATTCACCCATGAGAAACTGAGAGGGTGGAGAATCAATCGCTCGTTGCTTTTATTGTGGAGATAGTTTGGGACTTTGCAGAGCCCCTGGGGTCTCTAGAGCATACTGATGTTTTAGATTCCTTTGATCTCACTCCGGTTCTTGAAAAGCACTGGACGGTGCCTGTGTGAACCTATGAAACATCACTTGCACAGATCTGGAATGGCTAGGAAGATGTTCCAGAAGGTGCCTAGTTCTAACCTTGTTCAGAATAGCCGACAGAAGTCCAGACTAGATTAAACAGCAGCTGTAGGCAGCTGCAGATGTGGGGGGCAAAGGAAGAAATGCCTGCCTTCTGCTCCTGTGAAGTTTTTCTCCAGAGGAGCTCAGGGCACCAAAAAGAGTCTCTTTTAGTGAAGACAATTAATCAAAGGTAACTCTCCGTGTACTCCTTTGAACCCCACTAGGAGGGCAACTGTACAGAGTGTTTTTTTAAAGCAGCTGAGAAATATTTGATACATGAATCTCTGAAGTAGTACACACATTTGGTTATAAATAAGAAGGCTATCTACATGTATTTAAATGGTTTTATATTTTATTTCTGTTTGTAAATGAAAATATCTTCCTAAGATTTTAACTATGTCTGAAAAGTAGCCACTTTCAAAAAAACCATAACAGTCTAGGCAATACAAGTGCAGTACCAACCGGACAATATGGACTTTTACAGGCAACACACTATCTTCTAAAGCCAAACCCTAATTTAAGGGATGAGGAAACACCACTGCTATTCACGAAGCGAATAAAAGCTCCATTGTTTCCATAACAAACATTTAAGAGAGTTGTTTCCTAATGGAAACTCATTGTTACTGAAGAAAAATCCTTAGAGAGGGAAAAAGTACCTTCATATATAATCTGCATTGGGGATGCAAATTGGAGAGAAACATACACCAAAGATTTGCATTTAATCAAATCTGAAGCAGGTCATCTCAGAAGCATCGTTCCCTGTGCAGAAGGCTCCCCACCAGGACCAGCCTGAGCTCTGTGGGATATCAGGACCCTCTCTAAGGACATTTACCGGAGGCCTGACGCTGTGGCACCACCCAGGATGGACAGTGGTGAGTGGATTACTACAGTAAAAGAAATCTTTAGAAATCCTAATTCTTAACAATCCTAACCTCATCAAACATAAAAATGCAATTGCACTGTCTTTGGCTAGAGTACACACAAATTTAAGAACAAAGGCAGAAGAAGTCAACTGTTGTTAATATTTTCATAACTCAAGTCACAATGTATTGCTCTTAGATTTGATTTGAGTTTGCCTTGAGTTTAAATAGACACTCATTCAGAGCAAGCAATCTACTCAAATAAACAATATTCTCATAAAATGATGGCTTGAATGTTGACACATTTTTTTCCAGTGTAATGGAACTTTGTGTTAAATGTAGGTACTTTTTGGGAAGTCCTCATATAAAGGAAGGAAAGGAAGAAAAAAACACATGTGTACAAAGCTCAAAACATCTCTTGGCTTCTGACTTCAGGCTCTTTTGGTTAACATCCAAGATCAGGAGAGACTTGAGCGTCATTTCACGAATTCAGAGTACATACAGGTCTTTCCTAGCATGTTCATCTTGAAGTGGTATGTGTTAGTGTTGACGTAGAATAGAACCTACCCAGTCAGGATCAAATCTGAGATGTCAATAATAGCAACATAAATGTTAATAAATGAAAGAAGAAATACTTCAAAAAAATTTTTATTAAGCACTTTGAACAATAATGATGCATCTTAACTGAAAGCTCTTCCTAAGGAGATCCCTCCCAAAATGTAGGAAATGGGATGGACCTGTCAGAGCTCCTGCCTGATGTAACATGGCCCTGGTTACTGGTGGGAGATCCCAGGGCTCCCCCGTGGGGGCTAAGAGGCAGGAGATGAGACAGGCTGTGGGTAGCCCCTGCGTGATGAAATGACTTCAATGTGACCCTAAAGAAAGCTCAGTAAGTTCACTGGTCCTGCTGAAAATGCTCCATCTGTACTGCTTATGCAGCCCTGAGCAATGGACATTTCTTTCAGATTAATAAGAAAACCCTTCTAGACTCCATGAGCTTGGAGACTGTTGGCCCTGACCCCTTGTCTCCCCGGATCAGAAGCAGACCCACAAACAGTGGGCTCCTAGCAGATGTACAGCAAGCTGTACTAGTGGTTCTGAGAGATATCTCCCTTGGCTTTGGTGAGGCAGCTAGAGTCTATGGAATGGGATAAGGGAAGGGGTACATACGGGACGTGGGGGGGGGGCTGAGAGTAAATGCACGCAGACTGAGCACACTGTCTTTCTGCTGCGCTGGCTGGGACCTCATTCTTGCCTCTCTGACAAGCAGAATCTGGAACAAACACAGGCTCTCCATCGACAACCCCTCCCATTCAGTATTTCTACTTTGTTTCAGGTGACGGTGCCTATGTAGACTGTCCCAAGGGACTATAATTCAGACACCTGTGCCTACTGACTTCATTGTGTTGTTGTCCAGTTGCATAACTCAAAATGTAGTTCCTTTCCTGAAGTGATTCTGGATTCTTCCTTGTTTCTTTCACCAGACCGTTTCATTCTGCTGCTTTATGTCACAAGCCCCTCCTTACCTCTCCAAAGAATGTAAAAGCAAGAAAACATAGCTCAAAAAAATTCATTAAAATACTAAAATAAGTATGTGTTTCAAATATCATGTGTGTACTTAGCATAACTAAAAATGCTTTGAGGGAGGGTCACCGGTATTTTAAGTATTAAATCAATTTTAGAATATATGAGTTTGATTTGATGGGAAAAGTAATTTTCAAAACAAATGAAAACAACGACACCATTAAGTCTACTGTGGATCAAATTCTCCAAAGAAAGGGGGGAACAGTGTGACGGACACATTTGGCTACATATACATAATCATAACCCAGCAGTGCCAAGTTCTTTCCCGATTCTAAAGCATAAATTGATTCCTATTGATGAATTTGCGTGTGCTTTCTCTCTGGAAACACTCGTCTCTGTTTTCTCAACAACCGATCTGAATGTAAGTTTGTATCTAGGATATTTGAATAAAAACTCTCCAGTCCTCCTTGCCGACGCAGGTGTGGACTCTAGGTAGACACAGTGTACAGAGAGAGTCAAGTATCTAGGAGTGGAAATGCCAGGAACATTTGTGAACTCTAAATACCACTCCATCCAGAACAAAGAATATAGACGCTTCCAAAAGAAGAAAACTGTGGGATTTTAAAGAACTTATGCTAAGCTCCATTGATTTGCTGAATTTTTTTTCCATACATCCACTTGGGCTGTTGTCAGAGTAGATGTTCACAATGCCACACTGGTGCTACAGAGCTGGCTGTGTGGCTCCTTTCATTTCTCTACTACCCTTGCCCCTAGACACCCAAAACTAAAATCTTCACCTCTGCTTCCTATGAAAGGACTCCCAAGTTTTAAGAACCTTTCCAATCCCACTGGCTCAAGTTCATCTCTCCCAGCTTTTTTAAAGTGTTACTGAGATAGATAGATAGAGAGATGATAGATAGATAGATAGATGATAGATAGATAGATAGATAGATGATAGATAGATGATAGATAGATAGGTGATAGATAGAGAGATGATAGATAGATAGATAGATAGATAGATAGATAGATAGACAGACAGACAGATAGATGATAGATAGATAGAGAGAGAGATGATAGATAGATAGATAGATAGATAGATAGATAGATAGATAGATAGATAGAGATATAGATATTTCAACAACTTGTAGAGTTGACATATATATACATATATGTAATACGCAGTTTTTGAACCTCTGCTAAGTACCAGGTCCTTGAAATTGCTCGTTATCCTTTTTTCTCTAGGACCCCTCCCTGGTCCTTCCATACTAATCCAACACTACTGTACTGTCTTTCTAGATTCTTCCCACAGTGGTCCTTCCATGGACCTTCCTTTCCCTAAGCATCTCCGACTAAATATCCTCTTTCTTTTTGTTGCAAGTTGTTCTATGGAGAGCGCTATTTTCATGGCTCTAATTATAATAGTTTTAAAGACATGCTGTGCCAACCCAGATCTAAATTCTTGTTTTATCTACAGGACACTTTTACTTTTTTATTTGATTGTATCCCTACAACCCCAAAGTCAACATATTTAAAATGTTCTTTCCCTATCCAAATCTTCATCATTCACTGTTTGCTTTTGTGTGTTTGTGTATGTGTATGTATTGTGCATATCTGTGCATGTGTGTATACGCATGTGTGTGTGCATGGATGTGTGTCACTTTGAGAGGTCTCTTAAATCTGCCCTTTCTTGTTACTTTTGCTGCTGCATGCTAGTTTCCATTTATAAGTTCCCACTCCCTCTGCATCCTCATCCAAACCCTGTTGTAGGATCCACTCGTCCATGAAGCTTTCAAATATTTTTCAAATCTTCCAAAACTATGACAAAGGTCATAAATCTTTCCCGCTGTTCCTCTGAAGGGGCAGGCAGGACTTTTCCTATTCTCTCTCTCTCTCTCTCTCTCTCTCTCTCTCTCTCTCTCTCTCTCTTTCTCTCTCTCCCACTCTCCCTCCCTCCCCCTCCCTCTTTCTTTCTCTCTCTCCTCCATCCTTCTCTTTTTTTCTCTTCTCTTCCCTTCTCCCTCCGTTTTCCCATTCCCTTCGCTTCCCCAATAAAACTCCTCACTTAAAAAAAATCTGTTAAAGATTTAGTAGCCTCTTTCATCTTTGATATCAAGTGTGCACTACAATGTTTCAGTCAATTTCTGATGTGTAGAGGACAGTTGTCAGTCACATTATGTCATACAATGACCTCATACTGCCTTCACTTGCAAAATTACACTCTGTGATGTTTGCCCAAGGTTGAAATTGCCGAACAACTCATTTCCACAGCACGTCACCATCATGAAATCATGCATGACAGTATATATTTCTTTTTAATGTGTTAAAATTTTAATTACATTTATTCATGTACATGCATAGGTGGGTTGAGTGGGATACGACACAGTACACCATTCATGTGAAAGTCAGAAGACCACTTGTAGGAGTCAGTTCTCTCCTACTATATGGGACCTGGGGATTGAACTTGGGTTGTTGCGCTTGGTGGCAAGCCCCTTTATGCACTGAGCCATCTCACCAGCCCAATAAAATAAATTCTTATAGACATTTATTGGATTACTTCAGCACTTGCATTACTTTTAACAGCAATGATGAAAAAAATCTTTCTACAGATGTTTCCTTAGACGCCTAGTGTGTGGCAAACACAGGCATCAGGGTATGCTAGTGAGACACCCTCTTCTTACAAGGAACAATCAACAATGTGCTTCTAAATAGGAAACTCTATGGAACATTATAAAATGGTGGGCCCTAAACAGGAACCAAAGTACAGGAGAAGAAGAATCTGGAATGTATATAGGGACGGTGCAATATTTAAAACGCTTTCATGGAGATGACCTTAACACCAGGGCTCTGAGCGAAGACAGTGTGGTGGGTCACAGGGGGAAGGGGATAAAGGACAGAGGAAGAGGGGGCGGGCAGTCACAGGAGTAGAGGACAGATGGGCAGGGCGACCAGTCACAGGGCAGAGAGATAAAGGACAGAGGAAGAGGGGGCGGGCAGTCACAAGCATGGAGAGGTAAAGGAAGAGGAACATTCCGCTCACAGGCAGCAGTATCCTCTGGCATCAGCACCCTTGGTACGTTTCAGAGCCACACTAGAGTGCAGAGAGAGAGAGCACAGAGGAGCCAGAGAGCAGGGTCATCTGAGCCTGCTGTCAGGGCTTTGGCTTTCCCTGAGGGAATGAGGAAGTGCTGCATAGCTCTGAGCACAACAATGACCCAACTGGATTTTTTAAGGACGCCCCCGCCTCCCGTGGCTCCCAGCACCATGGCTCCGACTGCTGGGAGGATAGACTTGGGCCGGGATGAAGGATGGAAACAGGAAGCACATTAGAACAGTGGTTCTCAACCTTCCTATACAGTTCCCTTTCATACAGTTTCTCATGTGGTGGTGACTCCCCTCCTTTCCCCCACAGCATCAAACTATTTTTGCTGCTACTTCATAACCATAATTTTGCTACTGTTATGAATCATAATGTACATATTAGATATGCA